AATACCAATAGCCTTTTGCCCCTGCTGCTTTGCACAGCACCTGGATATAACATTTAGAGCCCCAGCAGACATTATGGATGATAAAGCAACTTGCCAAGGACAGAAGCTTCTCTCAAAACTATTAAGCTCTCACATCAGTTCTGGAAGAATACTCTAAACCACTGTTATTTTTCTTATTATAAAACACTCACACACAAAGGGAGAGTAACTGATGTGTAGATTAACTCTGATCTTTAAAATACTTCACATTTTAAAAGCTCTAGTCAAAAGAAATCATCTTTTATTTACCATTTAAGGTTCCTTGACTAATCAAGCTCATCATGAACTCATTAGATACACAACAATGAATCTCAATTGTTCAGATAAAATGACAAAATATGGGGAAAAAATTTTCTTTAAGCAGACATACAATATGTAATTTAACCTTCCTTGTTTCTGGTCATTTGGAAAAGAATTACAGCTTTTGCTCTGTCAACACTACTGTAGAATATTTTATTTCCCAAAAATCATAAAGTATGTGGCCACTGCAAGATCCTTAATTTTTCAGTATCTTATCCTTCCTCCAGCAGGCAGTAGTCTCTTCCCATTAAATCTGGGTGGGCTTCTGACTCATCCAAAAGAATAGAGAATTTATAAGACCACCCCAAGAGGGTGACAAAGGGTTAAATGTCTGGCCTGCTAGGTCTTGGAACAGACACCAAGCTGAGACCATACACAGGTCAAGTTCTTACCACATGGCTGCTTAGGTGTCAGCTAGCTTTAATGATCTGTGCATAAAGTATATTCAGATGATTCCAATTTCTAATCTTCAAAAGCTATCCCAGTTGAAGCTCAATAGAGCAATAATGAGCTACATAAAACTGGTCAGCCAAAACAATTGTCCTAAACCATGAGGTCTGGGGAGTAATTTTGTTATAATATGTCCTCTACATTCTCACAGCTGTTTATAAAATATTCACAATTTAGCTTTGTTGGTTTTACTGGTTTTCTCAAAAATATATAACATGTAGAAATGATAACTACAGAAGACTTCAGAATATCTTGGTTAACCAAGGAGACTCAACTATTAACAAATTACTTAACTTGCTACATGGATCCAATATAGGAATATGGCTAGTACACTGCCAAGAGTCCAGATAAATAAACCTTCCATGTTCAAGCTCAGTGATGTAAAATTGGGAGATCCATTAGTAAGTAAGCATCTCTGGAATATGTCATGAACTGGTAGAGTCAGTTCAGAACTGAAGAACCAAAAAAGGTAGGTACTGAATCAAAGAAAAAAATTATATGTCAAAATAATAAAACATATGGGCAAAAGTCCGGTGGTAGAAAGTGAAAGGAAATGTAGACAAACTGCTCAAACTGTGCAAATGCAGGTTGGATGGGCTGAGTGGTTGCCTTCCAATTCACTCTAAAGGTTCTAGGTTCAACAAGCCAGCTAATAGCAGAAAAAGACTCGACCTCCACTTTTAAATCTTTAAGATTGGCATAATCAAAGTCTAAAATTCCATCTGATGTCAAGATAGATACACATCTCAGAAAAAATCCTCAATGTCCAAGAACACTGGCAAATATTAGGGTGAAGATAGGCTAATAATAAAAGCATGAAACATGAGAAATCGAGTCAGATTTCATTTAACCTAGATTGTTTCTGGATACGACCCAATGGTCAAAGAAAATACTCCAATATAAAAAAAACAGGTATTTTTAAAAAGGAATGAAATGAGATTTTCCAAACTTAAAAGCTGAGTTAAATGCTACAAATGCTTTTTTTTTTTTTTTTTTTTACTTTCTTATTTTTCCATAACATGAAAAAACCTTTTCAAAACAGGGGCATAAGTTTAGATGTAGCATCAGCATATCAAGACACCTGGTTACCTAAGCAAGACCTTTAAAAACAGTAATAAAAAAAAAAAAAAACTAGTTCTGAAATTCTCTCCAGAGTCAATTTACAAAGTGATTTCAACAAAATTCTAAGCATTATCATGTTTAGAAATCACATTTACTAAATTCTCACATAGATGGATAGGGATAGATCAGGTTCCAAAAGTAATTTGTTCAGGGACTTAAGGTTTTAAATCTAAAATTCCATCTTTCCCATTTTTATTCATCATGTTTTATTCCTATAGAATAACTTCATCTATAATATCTTATTGGATCAGTCAATTTCACTTATTTGAAGGTAGTTACAAATATAGACTTGATAAGACTAGGACAAATATTAAGTATTGGATTGAATTTCTACAATTTCTAAGTTTTTCATCTGAAAGGGGCTAGAAACACCCCAGAAACAAGCACATCCAGGACTTGCATTCTAAATAACATTGTCCACTGTAAGGAACAGATTCTTAAAGAAATGGCACATTCCAGGACTGGGAAAGAAAAAGCCAATGATGCTCCTAAAATCTTTCTTAGCCATAAAGTATGCACAAAAAACCCATGTATCAAAAGCACACAGGCTACCAATCATTGAATCTGGGACAATAAAAACATCAAAATTAATTGTGATAGTATAAAACTTGCCAATTTTGATTAACTGCTAATTAAAATAAGCCTCCATACCAAGGAAAATAACAGTGTTGAGGTTTATTATGTCTGCAGCTTTCTGTCAAACACGTCAGGAAATAAATAGTATATATCCATGCATATGAGAATACTCAACAAAAGTTAAGAATATACAAGAATTCTTTCAACTATTATAATTTCAAAGTTAGAGGAAAAGTAATTCACATCATTAATCAAAGAGAACCTAAAATATCAATCTGGAACTTGACTAAGGAGATTCACTGCAGATAGGGAGAAAAATTACTTGATGGATTCCAGTTTAACAGCTCTGGAATCCCACCTTTTTCACAACTTCCTTATATCCGTTTACCTACTTTTCAATTTCTTATATATGACTCTGGGGTCATATACACCTTGGGGTAGACTTTGAATGTGCTTGCCTTCCAATGGAAGGATTACACAATCATCACATTTTTTATTCCTCCACCTGAACTGCACTTTACAAAATTCTACTCATTCTTGAAATCTCTGCTAAAAGTACTTACACAATTTTTGAGTATTCTAGCAAAAACCAGAATAACCTCATTAAATTTTTTAAAGCAACAACTGGCTAACTTTATCATGGAAATGTCATTAAATCTGTTAACTCTGGCATTTGCATTTTGAAGTGCTTATTGCCAATTCCTCCTCCTCCTCCTTTTAGGTGTAAAACATGAGAAATTAAAAAGCATTGGTTTTATTTTAAGCAATACTACAGAGTTCTGAAATAATAAAAATCAAAACAGGTAATTAAAAGATCAACAAAAGCTATGAATGCTATTTCTAATATGAAAAATTTTTAAATGACTTATTTCCTGCCAGCAATTTATTTCTAAATTGTTATGCCCTTGTCTTTTTAAAAAATACCTTTTTATTTATTTTTATGTGGTGCTGAGGATCGAATGAAGTGCCTCACAAGTGCTATGTGAGCAGTCTACCACTAAGCCACAACCCCAGCCCCTGCCCTTGTTTTATACCAAAGAATTTTAGTCATTAAACTTATTTAACTGATAAATTTGAAAGTACAGCAGAATGTCAAATGGAAGAAACACAAGATACATAATATACTGTTCTAAGTACATAAATTAAAAATTTCCTATGGATGAACACTCCTCCTTAAAGAAAGTAATTTCATACACTAAGAATGTTCCCATTTCTCCAAAATTACATGGTGGTCAGGTGAACCTTAATCAGTCCAAGAACCTTTTTTTTTTTAAATCCAGTTTATATTTTAATATCTGGATTTTTAATTCAGTATACAAAAACTACCAGTATACATCTATTAAGTTAATTTCAGTATTATTTCACCATTATCACTTACATTTACTTAGTGCTTTTAAGTGGCAAATTACCTAATTATGAACACTAATTTTTCAAAACAAAATTGTGCTCAAGTATATTACAATGCAGATTTTTTAAAAAACTGAATTACACATATATTTCTCTTTTCTAAAGTTCCTACAAAGAACTTATACTTAACTATTTGTTCCATAATTTTAAAATAACATTTGGCTTGGCTTAGTCAAAAATAAAAGGCTAAAAACCTTTCTAAGACTAAATCCATAAATGGACTCAAATTTTAAACCAAGCCTTGAAATCACAGCAAAGGATATTTTCATTAGTTTAACATTTTTGCATGGCATAAGGTTTTCACAAACAATCTAGTTTTTATCTTCATTTTTAATAATGGAAATAGTCAGCAACTCAGATAAATCCACAAATTCATACTGTCTTACAAGCAGCAGTAATAAACACTGTTAATCCAGTTATCTCAGGGGCCTTATCATACATCAGTTATATGTTAACCTAAATTCACGGAAAAATAAAAATATTTCTACCAAAGATAATGTCTCCCTTTCATGTTTGTTGTTAAACGAGCTCAAAAGGAAATAGAGGTAGAATCCCATTTTTATTAGGTACCAACTCACCAATTCCAACAATTAAGATATTTTCACATCTAGATAAGAGTATTACAAATACTGCTTCACTAAACCTATATAAAATAAGAAATTACACAGATGTGACTTTCAGACATCCAGGTTAAACTCACAACTAATCAACTCTTTCTCTGCTTGAATGACCATAAAATGACAGGTCTTAAGCTTTTTAATAGGTGACTATATGAGATTTTACCATTTCTAATAGGAAAAAAAAAAAAAAGAGAGAACTAACTTGATAGTGAATTGGTTAGTGGAAACCAAAAATTAAGCACATAAAAAGAAACTCTCAAGTGTCTCAAAAGTATCTGTAGCTACATTTTCAATAAAATCTGTCAGAATTATGGAATTCCTTTCTAGTTTTCAAATTAACTCTATCTAACAGGACTAGGGAGGTGGCTCTGTTACAGATTTACAGGTCACAGCAGACTAAGCACAGAACAGCCTGATCTAGACATCTGTTTTCCAATGTTTAAAAAAGTATATTCATGTGTTTTTAAAAAATCCAAATATCACCAGTATATTTTATAAAATTAATTCCAAGTTTTATTAAGGATTTCAAATTACATATTTCAAATTTCTAGAATGGAATAGAACCACTTTGGAACTGAAGAAATGGCATAAATGAACACTGACATTCCCTGAAACTCCAATTTTATAAAGAAAACAATTCCTGTGCAGACCACACCGATTATTTAACAAGATGAAGTATTACTATCTTTTCACTTTGGCATAGCTGTTTCCTAAAGGAATAAAACAAAAATAGTGATTTTGTTGCTTCTTTCAATTCATTAAAAATGGGATTCTATCTTTAGATCAAAATTTTTAAATTCAGAAAAAGCTTGTGTTTAGATTATGGTTAAAAAAATTACAGACTATCGAAGTCAAAGCAATCAAAATCATTTTGAAAATGAAGGAAAAAAAAACTATTATAATTGGTTAAGGATTTCCAGTAGTTAGTTAAAAATCTCAGGAAAAGGCATGGATAATTCTATACAAATAATAAAATGTCTTCACATTCTAAAACCTTAATACTAAATTTTCAAAAGAAAACTATTACTTCTAAAAGTGAACTTAATGTAATTTTATTAACAGCAGAAACTCAAACCCTCCTGTTGTTACAATTCATTTAGTTCACCCTCACTGTCAGACCAAAAGTTCACCCCCCAAAATTAACAGTAATAAGCCTGAGGTATTTTAAATGTGGCTCTATAGTCTCAAATTTAATTGCATTCCCCTTCCCCAAATGGTCTTATTACCACTTTAGTCCCATGATCTCTATAGTATTTTGTTACAGTATGGTCATCTGATACCCTGGAAAAAAATCCTTGGACCTACTGAATAGTTCACTCATCCCATCCAATTTTCATTAAAATAGGGGCCATGCACAGATCTGAAAGAGTGTTGTCTGGCCAGATCCAAAAGAGAAGTGTTTTCACTTCATTTTCCAGTTAATTATGGAAGCCTGGTATGAAAAAAAAAATGCCGAATATCACACTTGTGGTACAAAACAGGCCCAAATTTTTAAGCTTTTAACAAGGCTGAGAAACAGTTCATGAAATTTAACTTAATATGCCTTAACACATCTGTGAGGTAGTTAAGTAAACAGTACTACCCATTTTAATACACAGTAAACAGAAGCATGGGTAAATGACATACTAAAGCAATAAGAATTAGAATAAACCATACAGGCTTAGGGCTTTGGTTCTAGCCCAAAGGAAATAAAATTCAACTGTTTTGCTTTTTAAAACTATATCACATCATTAAGAGTCTTTTTTTTTCCCCCCTTCCACTTGCTTATGAAGCTGGCATGCTTTCCTTCAATAATATGGTAAACTGGGCACAACCCTTAATCCAAGCCTCTGGGTCTAACCTGAATTAGTACAAAATTAAGACATTATCTTGTGAGAACTAAAATTATATTTGACATTTTTATTTTAGGCTGCAAAAACAAAAACAAGCAAACAAACAACAAAAACTTGAAATAGGCTCGTCAAATGATGTAAATTCATCCTTTCCAGGAAAGCAGAAGGTAGATCCTACCACAAAGAAAAGATGCTTAGTTAATGGAAGTTAAAATTACAAGTACACTTTATCAGGTTAATAACCTTCTGAAAATTATTTTATTCACCTCCCTGTGATAACCAATAACCAAATTATGAGTTAGGTTTCCTTAAAATTAACTACACTTCATTAATAATCCTAACAGTTATCGAGTTTGGTCTTACTGGAAATTCTTAACCATGTTTGTTATGGGTTTTTTTCTTCTCTCAAATGAGTTGTATTAGTAAAAATTCACTACATTTCTGTAACAAATAAATGAAAAGCACAACTTTGCAAGCAGACTTAAAGTCACTCTTACTACCAGCTGAAAACTACTTTGGTTCTTCAGGAAAAAAAATTAGCAAACAAAAAACATTTAGCTTAATTTAACAGTTGTTAATTTTTATAGTTGTACTCCAATAGCTACATGATACAAATATTCCAGAAGAACCAAACTGCAGCAATGAATGAACATGCGTGAGATTTTGTGCATTCAACAGATATGACAGAAAAGCTATAGTTAAAATGCTAGGTAGAACAAATTTGTCTTTAAAATATCAATTCCTTTCCTTTAAAAAAAAATTATTGAGTCTACCAAGAAAATACAAAAACATAAGGCTGTAAGTAAATAATAGTTGTGTATAGGCTATTACAGTGCAGGTTATCCTCAAGGCCACATACATCCTGCTTCACTGTTGCTTGCACTCTGCTGGGTTTTGATCCTTCTGTTAAAGGAAAAAAACAAGTCAATCTAATTTCTACCTGCTTTAATGCATTTTAAATAGTAATTAACTACCTTATCACAGCATCTCACCTTTGTAAAAAATTTGCCAAATTAAAATAAGGCATAGGACAACTATGGCAAGTTATATTTTCAAATATTAGCAAATTGTTGAAATGCTAAAATAAACTCCAAATTTCACATTGCAGAATTAACTCAATGAGACACACTAAATAATAATCTTAAAAATATAACCAATTTGCCAATCATATTATCATTTATTTTTTGCCTTTTTTTGTATTCAAAGATACTAATTCCATTCATATTTACATATAAAGATCCATTTATACCTATCAAGATGTATTTAACTTGATTTTAAATTAGCCTCTTGCTTGCTTATGTTGAAGTGCTCTAAGAATACTTTTTAACATCAAGCAAATGAATGAACAGATCCTACATTTTAAATAATCTCTGGTAATTTACTATCTATTATTTGGGATATGACAAATTCAATTCCTAGGAATGAAGGACTCAAACTTTCAGAAACTAAGAATAATGGTGGTTGCAAGAATCTAACAAATAGTACTGGTCGCCATTTTCCAAGCACTCTTGCACTCAGATCTCTTAAAATTGACCTTTGTTTATAAGATTTTCTTTGGAAGGAAAACATATAAAAACACATTAAATTTTAACACTTAAAAACTGAAAAATAAGTAAAAGCCCCAAATAATGTGCCATTAAAATAAAATTTTAGAGTTTACTTGGCAGAAAAGTATAAAAAAAAATACAAAGAACCAAAAACAATGCTTCTCAGGGAAAGGTGCTCTGAAGTTTTATGTGAACCATATGAAATGACAACGGGAATTAGAAAAAGGGAAAAATAAAAGTTACACAGACAATGGGGTTTTATATTATTGACTGTAATGAAGAAAATTAAACTTCATAATCTAACTTTAGCCTGCCACAAATTAAACAGAAAACACCACTAATTCTGCTCACCTTCGAGTCATAGTCTGGATCATTTTCCTCATCTCCTTCTTCTTCCCCTTCCTATATTAAAGTTCAAAATGCATCCATGAAGTAGGTATATAATAGGAAAAATTGGCTCATAACGTAGGGAAAATTTAATACAAAATTTAATACAAGTTACTCTATGGGTCAACAGATTTTCATGATTACAGAGTTTGGTGATAATGCAATTTAATCTGAAAGCTTCTATTATGAAAAATTTCCCAACACAACTTGAGACATCCAGACAGCTTTTATTGAAAAGATTTACTGCAGCCAACGTTGAAAAAGTTTACTGCAGCTTTTGACTTCTTCAAAGAGCTGATAACCCTGCAGCAGAACAAAATTATTTGAAATAAAAAAAAATGTTGCTGAGTTTTACAATTTATTTATTGAAACCTTATACATACATTGTTTGGCTGTAGAATTCTAAAATCATACTTTCCAAAATTTATCCCAAATCACATAATGATTATATAGCAAAGAAAAACATAAATCACTCAATTTGCTTCTCAATGTCTTAAACACAGAGAATTGTTTGCTCATTTGGTAAACATTACCTCATCCGCTTCTTCACCTTCTTCATCATACTGAAAAGAGAAAACGGGATTAAGTGTGGATGAATAAAACACTTGAGAATACCATCAGTAACAGCCATCATTTTCAACACCTTTTATATCTAAAAGGGGGGAGAGCTTTCTCTTACAGTGAATGATTAAGCTAATCATATATTAGCTTTGGGAAATCAGGTCGGTGCTATCAGACAATTATTACTGTAATTACTAGCCTATATTGAGGTGTGAAATACATTGCAAAAAAAAAAAAAAAAAAAAAACCTAAACCCTAAAACCAATTAGAAAAAAAAAAAAAAATCCAAAGCATTAAAGGGCAGCCTAATTTTATCTGTTAGCATCATGTAATATTTTCTTAGAGAAAAATTCTATGTTATCTTAAAACACCAAAGAAGTCCTAGCTGTTCTACATGGAAAAGGCAAGAACAATATTTTTAAAACTCAGGAGAGGCTGAGGCAGGAGGATCTCAAGTTCAAAGCCAGCCTTGAAAACCCTCAGCAACTCAGCAAGACCCTGACTCAAAACATAATAAAAAGGGATATAATTCTGAAATAGAGTGCCCTGGGGTTAAATCCCCAGTACCAACAAAACAAAACTAGGAAAAGATCTATAGGATAATCAGTTATTAGCCTCATTTTGAATTATTCTATATCCCTTTAAAAAAATTAAACCTAATTTCCTGCTAATTCTGACTCTCATACCCACACCAAACTATTTCATTGCAGGACTCAAATTTACTCACATCATCATCATCATCTTCAATAGCTTCTCCAGTGAAGTATAACACTGATCTCGGGATTATACGCTCACGTAAAAAGTGACCAATTTCAAAGTCTGCAGCAAGAATAGCTTCAGCATCATCATCCTATTTTTTTTTTTTTTTTTAAGAAAAGCACAAAATTTAAGAATAAGCTGTAACTTAGTTCAGCATATTTAAGATTCAAGAATTTAAATAATAACAAAATCAATGGTAGAGCAATTGTCCAGCATGTGTAAAGTCCTGGGTTTAATCCTGAGCACCACAATTTTTTTTTTTAAAGGCCAACTTTATTTTCTACTTTTTAAAAAATACTTTAAAATTAAATAATTTAAATTAGCTCATAAGTAGTCATCTACATGTGCTAGGTTTATAGAATTTTAATAAAAACTAAAATAAGTTAGCAGACTAGTGTTCATGCTAAGAATAGTTATGGCAAATAGAATTTAAAAACTGGTTATCACTTAGTTCTTTTCTGGTTCAAACATAAAATGTAAAAGCAACTCTGAGTTTTTCCTTTGAAAATATTACTGAAAAACTAAGAAAAAAAATCTCATGCTTTCATAAGTAACAACATTAAGTATATGATAAATAAAAGGACATAAGAGACCACAGAATATCACTTAACACTTCCTAAGGGACAGTACCCAAGCAGCTGTAAGGTTTTAAGTCATTATTACAAATGAGGAGTTACAGAGTCCTACTTAATAAAGACAATAAACCAAGTCAAGTCAATCTAGGATTTCTATTTAATAGCAAAACACAGTACAGAAATGACTGACATGATTGAGAAAATTTCTTAGATTTCATTTATGTTTAGATACTTACCAATGAATTTAAAAAAAAAAAAAAAGTTTATTAAGCCATCAAGATAACACACCCTGATAAACAAAAATGTACTGGGAAGGGGCAGACATGGAGGACTATGAAGAAATCCTAAATGGAGATTTCTTATAAGACTGGTTTTGCCATCAATATTTAGTAATATACTAAAACTGCACTTGAAGACAAACTTCAAGCCATCAACTGATATAAAAATAGTGTGAAGCTCTTTTAATGCTCCTAAGTAGTTCTTACTAAAATTCACACACTGATTTACATTCCCATCGTTTGTCCTATAAAGGATGTTTTTAGCAGGCCAGTTAATATTCTTTTCAGACAGAAATACTTTTTGCCACTTGCAATATGGCTTATGCCTCAGTCAAGAGTGTTCCAGTTCTAAAGTATTCAAATTAACATAATATTTACTTTCCTACACACATAAAACTATTTAAAACTATCTCAATTAATTTAAATTCAAACACATGGTCAACAGAAAAGCAAATTCAAAACATTAACTGGCCTACCCTGCCTGTAAGGACTTATTCACGGTTTTCATTAGATCATTTTGTATACATTTTTGGTTTTTAGCCACAGGCCACATATAGTCACCATATGAAATCATATATCCATTGGCATAACAAACAAAAAAATTTTCATAGTAGAATGCATTCTGCTTTCATTAAGAAAGAGTTTTAAAAATTAAATCCCTGATAGAAAGAAAAAAACTGTCTAAAACAAATGCTAGCAGTGACCACCCCACTGTCCACTTTTGAAGACCAATGCTTTACTTTTATATGTATATGTAATAAACAGCTCAATAAAAATTCAACTTACCAGATCTCCACTGTCAGGAACTGAAAATTTGAGAAAAAGAAATGCAAATGAGTAAGAAACTAAACAAATTTCATAATAAAATAGTCGCCAATATCGAAAGTGAACCTCTACTTACCTTCAGGAGGGGCAAAAAAATTAAAGAAAGAATCATTGGAAACTGTTTTAGTCACGGTACGAACTGTCCCTCGTCCCTTGTGTTTCTGCTTCTTCTTAATAGTTTTCAAAGTGACATTCTTTCCTTTTTTCCAATCTATCTGGCACCTAACAAAACAAAGGAGGAAACAGCACACTTTGAATTTTTTAGAACTGTTCTATTTTAATATCAAATTTGAGAGAAGATAATTGGCTTATTAAATGCTTTCTATAGCAGCATAATGAGAGACATTTTATTTCTAAACATTTTTAAAATATAGTTACAATTAGCAAAAACACAGTATAATAAAGATAATAATGCACTCCTTTGCAGAGAAATGTGTTGTTGTCATGGCAAAAAAAATCGTAGGAAAATTGGACAAAACATTGTACTGAAATGTTTGGCAATAAATAACACACATATGTATGTATCAAGTACACACAATAGAAATACCAAGTATCACAAATAATAAACAAAGAGATATAACGTTATTATGGTCTGGATGTGGGATGTCCCCCAAAAGCTCATATAAGACAATGCAAGAAAGCTTAGAGGAGAATGGTTATGAGAGCCCTAACCCAATCAGTGAATTAATCCCCTGATGCAATTAACTGGGTGGAAGGTGAAAACCAATACAGTATGGCTGGCGGAGGTAGGTCCCTAGGGATGTGCCTTTGGGGCATAAATTTCATATCTGGCAAGTGGAGTCTCTCTGCTTTCTGATTGTTATGTGAGCTGCTCCCCTCCTCAGTGATGTCTTCAAGCCTCAAGGAATGGTGTTAGCTGTCTATAGACTGAGACCTGGTAAACAGAGTCCTAAAAACTTTTCCTCCTCTAAAGCTGTTCTTGTCAGGTTTTGAATCACAGCATTGAAAATCGCTAACTAAAACAAACACTGTGAAAGTAGTAAAATTAACTTACCCTGTACAACCCATAATTTCGGGTCCATCAAAAGAAAAGGGATCAGAATCGTCTGGTTCTGACCTCATCCTGTATGTCTTTGTCAACACTTCATTTGTGAAATATTCATTGGGTTCAAAGTGAAATTCTAAGATAAAACTCTTAAAAAAAAAAAAGCATAAAAATTAATTTAACTCTTACACTGTGAATTTCAGTGCATAAGTAAATAGCTTAATCTATGGTTTAGTGTATTTTTTGGGGGGATGGGGGTACTCGAGATAGAACTCAGAGGCACTCAACGTCTGAGCCACATCCCCCACCCTATTTTGTATTTTCATTTAGAGACAGGGTCTCACTGAGTTACTTAGCACCTTGCTTTTGCTGAGGCTGGCTTTGAACTCGCAATACTCCTGCCTACGCCTGAACCACTGGGATTACAGGCATGCGCCACAGCACCCAGCTTAATCTATGGTTTTTAATAAGCATATACAAAATTTTAAAGGTTTTCCTAATTTTGAAACATAATGTTAAAAGCAAAACAAGGCACAAATAAAATGAATAGTTTCAATTTACAACTATCACACTTAAGTAAACGGTCTGACCAAGTCCCCCTTTTTCTAAACCTCTCCCAAAATAGGCTTTTAAATGAGACTAGAATTTGACACTAGCAAAACGTCAACCTTAACAATCTATAACCTATAGTAATAATATTGCCAATTTTTAGGAGAGATTGTTAGCTAATCTTTTCTGAGGAGGAGTAGGGACCCTCTAATATCATACATTTTATGAAATTCCTATGCACATGATTTTTAATGACTAAGTATTTACTTATTAATATTACCTTGCCATTATTTTTTTAATCCACTTTAATCCAGGATCATTAACTGTATTTTAAAAACAAGTGGAAATTCATAGGATGGGAAAGGAAAACAGCATAAACAATGGCAATATCCAAATATTTACTACAATTAAGAGTAACAAGTTATCAGTTCTGTCTCACTTCCATCTCTAACTCTTGAATGGCACCTAATTTTAAAAACTTTCTTTCATCTACCTGTTAGCATATGTTACAAAATTGAAAATATTTCAAAGTTCTTTTACCATAGGCTGGCCAGCATCTGAGAACTTCACTTTAATATCTTTCAAGTGCTTCAGAATAGGTTCGTCATGTTCCTTCAAATTAAAATAATAATAAAAATTTTTGAGTATCTAACATGGCATTTCTGGATCCGAGTTCTGTTACTACATGAACCCTAGCTAGGATGTAATATCTTTCACAGCAAAGTTTTATATGACAATTATAAACCTTAGGACTCTCCAGATTATGGCCTATACTGAAGCCACTTTATACTATAGTTCTATTTCCACTGGTATAGAAAAAGTGACTAAACAGAGACAAATGATCATACAAGCTGAATAGTCTAAAAAATACAATACCAAATCTAAATAAGGCATCTCTGCTTTAAAAATGTTTCTCGATTATAACTGCTGCCTTTACTAGCTGCTTTTTCCTTTTCTTTTTGTTAAAGTATAAATGCAGTAAGCAGTCATTATATTGAGACCATTTTTTTCTTCACATGACTTCCAACAACCAAAAGACATGGCAACAAGTACTATAATACAGATGGCAGGGGTTCAAAGAAATGCTTGAGAAGCAATATTTCCCAAAAAAAGTAATATCTGTATTGGTTTTCCAGAGAATAAGACAATTATGAATGAGTTAAACACACCCTTACAATATTCCTTTAAAATGCAAATTTCACTTGAAATTGTTCTCATTTCAGACTGAAAGGTCTTGACAGCAATACAATTGCAATTAAGATTCCCTCCCATTTGCTATCTTAAAATTAAGCAAAATAAAGAAGGTATGAGAAAGTGCCCGGTCAAAACTGATCAATTAATAATGAGATCTCTTTCATTATCTAATATTTGAAAGATTACACTCATCAAAACTGTAATTTTCCTTCTATGGATGACTGCTACTTCAAAAAAACAAGCCTTTAAAGAGAACAATCACCAGAATCATATAAAATTCAAAGGTAAACTGGTATTTTTATGACTAAAATTACCTGAACCATGTCACTGAGCAAGTCAACATTCTTAAAAACAGTCAACCAAAATTCAGGAATTCCTTTAGGGTCTTCTTTTTCTTCATCTTTTTTTTCATCTTCTATCTTGGCCTTTTCTTTCAGCTCCTCCTTGATAAGTGATAGTATATATATATATTATTGAATACCTAAAGTGGTATGTATACACAGTGGAATATTATTCAGCATTAAAAGAATAAAATCATGGCATTTGCAGGTAAATGGATCAAGCTGGAGAATATAATGCTAAGTGAAATTAGCCAATCCCAAAAAACCAAATGCCAAATGATTTCTCTGATTTAAGGATGGTAATCCATAATATGCTGCAGGGAGTGGGGTGGGCGTGGGGGGGATATGAAGATTAAATAAACTCTAGATAGGGCAAAGGGGAAAAAGGGAGGGAGGGGTAGGAAAGATGGTGGAATATGATGGTCATCATTACCCTAAGTACATATATGAAGAAACAAAGGATGTGATGCTACTTTGTGTACAAGCAGAGATATGAAAAATTGTGGTCTATACAAGTAATATGAATTGTAATGCATTCTACTGTCATATATAACATTCTCTTTAACTTACGGTGAACTAGATACTGAAATAATAAACCTATTATCACCAATAGTTAACTTTTAGTCAATGAACTTCTAGTTTAATTGTGTAAAGACTGCTATTTATCCATTCTAAATCTTAATTTCAACAAAATAACAGCTACCACACCTCTCCAAAAAAAAACCATTAGAATCAGGAAAACCATTTTAAGACGATAAATGAAAAACAAAGACTTTAAAAATACAATAAAAAGGAAAAGCTAACAAAATAGTAACTTGTCTAATGCCTTACCTTGACATGTTCTTAAAGTATTATATTCTCTTTATCAATCAACATTTAAAATAGCAATGCTAGAGAAAAGCAGGGTCAAAAAAACACAACACTGGATTGGTGTCAGTTCTGTCATTATCTGTTGCAAGTTACTTAAAAGTTTCCAATAGAAAAATGGAAACAGTCTTTTGTCTGTAATCACAAAGTTCAAAAGAACACACTATAAATCTATAAGCTTGAAATACTACAAAAACACAAGGAAAAAAATGATATTGGGTACAGCTGGTGCCAGGTTGAAGTGGTTCATCTACAATATGCATTTTATAAAAGAAAACATTTCCTAACAATTCTAATATTTCTGACAACTGTAAAAATATACTAAAAGAAAGTTGGTACTAACCGAAATTTCCTCTTCTTCATCTGGTTTCCATTCACATTCTTCTTCTGTAGGTTCATAAATTGCATTAATGATCTCAAATCGCTAATTAAAAAAAAAAAAAAAAAAAGCTTTCATAAACACACTTGTAACAAGCTTAAAACTAATGGTTTCTCACTAAGGACTCTTATAGATTTAATTAACAAACATACCACAACCTTAACTGTTACTATTGATGGCTTCCCCAAGTACCTCTAACACCCACTTTAGTAAGCTGTACAAAGACTAACCCACCTCCAAGAGTGTTTATATTTCCAGAGCTTGTACTAATTTTAAATAAAGTAGTAAAGAGAGAATTATTACCTTATCAAATAGAGGCTGATAGAGAACAGCATACTTCCTTTCAAGATCATGAACTTCCTCATAGAATTTGGCTTCTATCTGTGCACATTTAACTTGAAGGTTTTTGAGAGCATTCACTCGTCTTTTAACTACCCTAGGCAAGCTGAAAGGTCACATACAAGTTACATAGCATCATAGTAACACACAAATCACACTTCTTTAATCATCTTGAAATTGAAGCAAAGGAGTGAGTGAATGAATAAGTTCCTATTTGAAGTAAAAGTATATTAAAAGAAATTAAATCTAAAAGATAAGTATATTTACCCTAGACGATATAAAACCAGGTAAAGTAAGTTTGTATTATAAATCATATTGTCAACCCTAATGTCTTTAAATTATAATCAAGTTCAGAGCTGGACTTGTCATTGAAGGCATTTGAAATGAATAACAATGACTACTTGAATTTTTTTTTCCCTCATATCTGTCTCACTTGTACCAATTTGGGGAAAGCACAGAATATTTACTTTAAAGAAAATAATATGGTATTACTTTCTATTTAATTTGGAATTATGTTAAATAAGAATATATTATCAACAGAGGGCATAAACTTTTAACAGATCTAATGAGAAACAATTCATATACGATATACTATGGGCCACTGATTTTTAAAGTTATACTTGGGTTATAAATCAAATTTATGAACCCCTCTACTACCCAAAGAAATGTCATTCAAAATTTACCTAATTTCAGGGAGTCTATGCAACAGATGCAGAATCCAGGTTAAAATTTACTACCACAAACAAATTTTTGTGGATCAAACAATTCTCATACTTAACCACTACTTTAGTTAAGATTATTAGAAACAAAAAAATACTGAAAGATAAACTTTCTATTTTATAATTAAAAAAGTTAAAAACAATATTCTGTCAATATGGTGAACTACCATGGGCTTCTGGCTTTCTCTCCTACCCCAAAATTGCCTCTAGAAATTTTGCCACCAAAGAGAAAACTACTATTGCAGGTGCCCATGCACACAGACACATATACATACACACATACTCTATAAGTCACTTCTGAGTAATATCAAAGGCTATTTAACTGGTATAGGGTGATAAGGCGGTTTGCAATCTGGGGAGGGGATGGCTAGAGTATGTAGCATCGAAGATAGGCAGAAAAAATCATTTTTGCAAAGAAAATTTTAAAATCTCTGCTCTTGCCTTGCAACACTGTCTTGTATCATTCAAAAGAGCCCAATGCCAGAGTTCCTAGGGTAACAGTCAAAGCCAGACTACTTCACTCCTCTACTCATCTATCTAGGTATAATAGATCAGACACCAAAGGAGACTGCTTCTCCCCCAAGCAAACCAGAATAATTGCCTGGAATTGTCAGCCAATTCTGAGTCTTAGGCTCCAAGTGCATTCAAGTTATCCCCTCTCTCCAAGAAAATACCATAGACTATTTCTGACCTTCATTCTTCCCACCAATGTTTATTTTGAGTAAATGACACTATCCAAGATGCGTGAGCCCAAAAGCAAAAAAAAAGTTCATGAGGTTGAAAAGTTCTCCCAGAAGACAGCATTAAGTAAAATTGAAAAGATATGAGTTATGGATGACAAAAAAAGTAGCAACAGCTAAACAGTAGGGGGTGACTATTACAAGAAATGATTACAATTTTCCTTTTCTTGAGAAAATCCTTACTCATTAGTGGTATTTATTAATATCAAAAATAAAAAAAATTATAAAGGTGTTCAATAGAAAAAAGCAAATAATCATCAAAAGGAGTCAGACTGATAATGCTAGGTTTCATAAGAAACATTATGAGAAAAAACTTAATTGTAATTAAAAAAAATTTTTAGTTGTAGATGGACAATACCTTTGTTTAATTTATTTATTTATATGTGGTGCTGAGGATCAAACCCAGTGCCTCACACATGCTAGGCAAGTGGTCTACCACTGAGCCACAACCCCAGCCCTAATTTTTAAAAGTTTTAAGAACTATCAATCTAAAACTTTATGGCCAAATTATTCACATATGAAAGCAATATAAAAATTGTATCAAGAACATCAGGCTTGAAGGCCATACATACATATATTAAAGAAAATTCTTGAGAAGGTAAAACAAGAACACAGGTAATTCCATAAGATATAGGTGATCAACCAGCTTAAATTTTACAGTTGGCTTGAAAATATATTAACAGTAAATTTAATAAACAAACAGGGGTATATAAACCTAGGTATTAAGTTATGATACATTACTATAACTTAAAACAGAATGTATTAACTTCAAAACCATCAGAAGACAGCCTGATGGAAAGTATAGGAGGATGATAAAAAGAAATAAGTACAAAAAATTTAAAAATAGAGAAAAATGTCACTGGTAAATTCAAAGAGAATGTAATTTTCAAGAAGCATGAAGTTGAACTTACTCACAAAGAAGCAAATATCCATACAAGAAGACAAAAAAGAAATGTCAGTCTTAAAAAAATAAATAAATAAAAGAAAGCTGAGATAGCTATCATAATATTAAAGGGGGGGGGAGACAGAATTTATGGCAAGGGGAAAAAAAACTAAGTACAAGTGAATACCTCAGTACAAAAGAACAAGATATATACATTACAAACAGCAAATATCTAATAATACAGCTTCAAAATGTACCAACCCAAAAATGATAGGATTATAGGGAAAAAAAACAGATAAACTAGAGATCTTTAACATATTGTTCCAAGAAACTTAGAATAAACTGGTACTCAATAAGCAGAATCGATGAGAACCTGAACAATAAAATAAGCCTGAGCCAATTAAGTTCAGCATGTCTTCACACCCGACAAATATAAAAGTGTTAAGGCAATAAAAGACAGATTTTTACAAATCAAATAAACCAAACTGTAAAAAGGAATAGAGCAAACTAAACAAATACACATTAACATTAAAGCCAGAAATCAATAAGAGTAATATAATTTTGATTAAACAAAAATATGTAAAAGGAAATGAAAAGCAAAACTAAGGTTTTAAGAAACATTACCAAGACCAACACAACTAGTGAAACAAATTGAAAAGCAAAATGAAGATTATGAAAAGGAAAATAATACTTTTCAAAATTTATCATAAACTATACTAGTCAATTTAAAACCCAGATAAAATACAAACCAGTTTAGAAGATAAAACTCTTAATAGACACAAAAAAGAATGTGAATAAACTGTGCTAAAAGAAAAAAAATGGTGGCCCAAGGGCTAGGGTTGTAGCTCAGTGATAGAGCGCTTGCCTAGCCCGTAAGGCACTGGGTTCAATCCTCAGCACCATATAAAAATAAATAAATAAAATAAAGGTATAATAATACCTATCTATATGTCTATCTATAACTAAAAATGGTGGCCTCAAATTCCCCAAGAGCTCTAATCCCTAAACTCCAAAAGCCCCAAGTATAATTTAGAAGAGTTGTACCAAATGTTCAAGGAAGAATGAATTCCTATTTTACTAAGGTGTTTCAAAACACAAAATTAAAAAAGTAATTGCAGCTGCATTCATTCATTAGGCAGTTTTGGAGTCTTGACTCCAAAGCCTGTTAAATATTACCACTCTGTGAAAGTTTCTTTGTGGAAGCACAAATATACATCCATGCACACATATGCACACAAGCTATTTCACTAATGAATAAAAGCAGAATTATAACTATACAGCAATGTAACACATGATAATTAAGTTTATTCCAGGAATATGGCTAGTTTGATATCTAAAATATGTATTACCAAAACATACATTATTATATACTGAACAGATTCAAGGAAAAAGCATTTGAATGAACACAAGAAAAGATGGATTAAATAAATAGAAACTGAAGACTGAAGATGTAGCTCAGAGGTAGAGCACCTATATGGTATGTAAAAGTGCCCTGGCTTCAATTACCTGTGACAAACTTAAAGGGGGGGGAGGACTGAATATAATGGAGTTTTTATATTGATTCCCAATATGACTAGAAATAAGATAAAGATGCTCATCTGTAATGCTAATGTTTAACACAGTATTTAAAGACAGAAGAATACAGTATGATCTAAGGTAGAAGATTTGAGCTAAAACTGCCATTATTTGCAGATAAGCTCTTTTGTCAGGTCTGGTGGGAGAACATAATTACAAAAACAAATTCAGTAATGTTACTGGATAGAAGATCAACATTAAAACAACAACAACAAAAAAATCGATAGCATGCCTCTGTATATCAGAACATTCAGCCAAAACTACAACAAAATAAAATTTAAGGAAGCAACACATTTAAAATACACAGAAATGTCTGGGGAAAAAAAAAAACCTCTCTGATAAAGTGAAATTATAAGACCCAGAACACAATATAAATATGCAATATTAAAGATACACTTCTCTTATTAATCTACAAATTGTAATTCCTATCAAAATTTTAGTGTTTTTAAATTTTTAAAATTTTGGGAATTCTGATTAACTTAATTGTCAAATATGTGGTAATGTTATGTCAATTTTATGATTGTGTTTGGGGATGGGGAAAGATGGAAAGAAGCAACTTGCCTTGTCAGATAAGAAGACATATAAAGTCAGAGTAATGAAGTTATGAAAATGACGAAATAATACACAAAAAGGCTCATGAAACAAGAGAGTGTAGAATATTGTGTCTGGGGGTGGGAGGGTATGGAAGGAAGCAACTTGTCCTACTAGATATTAAGACATGACTACACTGTGAAAAAACAACAAAAAGACAGAAAGACCAATGAAAGGAAGTGCTGCTCAAAGACAAATGCAAGCGTTTATAAGAACGTGATATGCAATAAATGTGGAGGGGTACACAAGTGAAATGGGGGAAAGAAGTTATAGTTTAGTGTTCTAAAACCTAGCCCCCTGGGGTAGGGCACGGATGTTTACTCACACCAAATACAAAGGTGGCTTCTAGAGAGATCAAAGACCTAAATGTCAAAGGTAAAACTATTAATGAATAGGAAATATGGAAGGAACTATGAAAGACTTCTATACATTTCAAAAATCGAAGCCACAGGCAAAAATTAAAAAAAAAAAAAAAAAATAAGGATTTGTTTAATGGAAGACTCCAAAGATAAAACTTAATAGAAATTATACAAAATATTGTTTATAATACCTAAAGCCAATATCAGAATAACAGCATCTAGAATACAAAAGGAATTCTGCAAAACAAGACAGTAGGAAAATGTCCAATAGGAAAATGGACAAAGGGTGCAAATAGGAAATCTAAAAGTCTCACTACCTTTATAAAAAGCAGCTCAAAATTCATTAACAATCAGAAAATACAACAAAGTGAGCCCATAACTCTTAATTTGGTTTAAAAATAAAAATTTAAAAAACCCTATAAATCTGAATGATGCCAACTGTTGGCAGAGACACAAAGATAAAGCAATCCTCATGCACGGGACACAGTATTTCTGAAAATTATGCTAGAAATACCAAAAGCTTGCATCTCCTACAGTACTAATGATCCCACTATACATAATGTGGGATAAAATATGCACGATTTCTTTAAAGGAGATGCACAGGATGCCTATCACAATAGAATCTGTGTTGATGAAGAGAAGTCCATCAAAAGGTTCAAAAAACAAACAAACAAAAAACAGTGGACACATACCACAGAGAACCAAATATTTAGAAGCTAGTAGGTAGTGATATACTAGATACCACCTACTTATGTACTAGATACATAAGACCCATATCCAATATAACTGGATCTTAAAATCATAAAGCTGAGTTGTAAGTTTAATAAGATATTCAGGATATTGTTAATTATTATGTCACTAATGAAATATAAGAAATCGTTCTTCTAAATCTATGCATTTCTAACAAACCACTAAACAAATCTCAGAAATGGTTAAGATCAGTGTATCTCCTGTGGACTTAAACTAAAACAAACTTTAAAAGATCAACTCTAAATGGGTGGTTCTAAAGCAAAATTCTAAACTTCCAATAATCCTATACTAGGTACTAGTAGACATTAGATTTCCACTATTGCATACATAAATCTTAGATGGTTTAAAAAAACAGATATACCTGCAATGCTGATTATAGAAAAGATAAATAAGGAGGATGAAAAAGAACTTGTACCTTTCAATGTATCCTGTTGGTGTTTCTACCAGACCATCAAGTCTTTCTTGAAGAGCTGCAAGAATCTGAGGATTTTGCATCATCTGAACAGTCAGCTGACGCGCTTTAAAAAAAAGGGGGGGGGGGGATTGAAAAAAGGCTTTTATAAAAATGTATTAAGCTTTTTTAACAGGATAGTCCAATCATGAAGTTTTCCTAATTGGCCTATATATAAAATGCTTGTGTAATAAGAAATGGGCAGGGTAAGCTAAAGAAAACACACTGCAGGAAAACCCAATGTTCAGGAAAGCTCAGAACAATATTCTCTCTCGTTTCCTATTCTTCCTAGTACCTCGTTTCACCCACCTTGTACTTTGGAAAGCTCAAAGCTTCATCCAGATGCCTATCTAATACTGTTGACAGTCCTTTGAAGGCATACAACACGTCAAAAACAAATATAATGACAGTCTGGGATAAAGACGGAGGAATGGATGTTCATGTTTGTGTAATATACTTGTGTGTATACAAAGGAAGTTAATAGTTGAAACAGTCAAAGGTATAACTGAAGCCAAACAAGATTTGATTATTATTGTTTTTTAAAAATTATTCAGTCCAAATCTAAGCCAAATTTATGCAAAACAAATAATATTGCTCTTTGTGTATTTACCTATATAGATATTACACAAAATTGCCATTAATTTTTCCCAATTATGTTCCAGAAGGTCAAATTACTTCTGATATTAATTGAATCACTGGATAACATACAGCTGTAGTAACTAAAAGGCATTTTAGAAACATCAATAATGTCCACTGAGGACACAGTCTCATATCTGTTTTAAAAAACATTGAAAGATGAAAGCTATAAGTTCTAGAATCCTGTCACAATTTACTTTCATCTCTGGTTTAAAAATGAAAACATGAGTCATCTGGTGCTTCAATATTTTTGGCCCAGATGACAGGGTATACCTAGAGCAGCACAATTCCCTACTACTGCCACTCGTTTTAAAATTATGTGCTAAAGTAAATTTTGAATGATTTTTATCTACATTTAATGAACTACTTTCTTCTTGTTTGGAAGAGTTGAGTTTTAGAAAGGCATACATACTGCATGTTTTCTATATTAAACACTAAACATATTAAAGCACTAGCAAAGCCCCGCAAACCCCACCACCTGAAACATTTCTAAATTCAGATAAAATCCACACAGCTCTTTAGTACAGCCATACTATGTGCTGCCCCAGCAGTAAAGGATTTGATGAGTGATTTTAGATGAGTCATTACATTCATTCCTGACTACCTCCTTTGTTTCTCCCCTCATCCTTCCTCCCTCCCTCTTACTTACACACACACACACACACACACACACACACACACACACTCCCTCCCTCTCAAACACAGTTACTGAACTGGAAGTATGGATTAGTGGGCAAAGGACAATGTAGAAGGGCCCCATTTTTTTTTTTTTTTTTTAAATGAAATGGTACTTTTTACTCTCCTCTAGAAGTCCACTGCCAGCCACCACTGGCTCCTAAAGTAATTTAAAATAATACCTTTGATTTTTGTTTCTTCACCAGTTTCTTCTTCTTCTACTTCTTCAACATCATCCAAATCTTGATCAAGTTCAGACTGTTCTTTGCTACAATATCATAGTATCACACCATGGTTCAAATGTACCAATTACAAAAAAAATTATAAAAAAACTTAAATTCATTTTCTAAATCAATATGCTTTCTTTCAAAGATGATAGGAAACTCAAAAGGTAATTCAGTTTCTTAATTTCATAGGTAAGAACTAACTGGAAGTACATAAACTTTCATTTAAAAGCATCTAACCAATTATAAAGTTTAGGGAAATGTGTTGGTGATATAGTAGTGAGCACAACTGCCTTCCAATTATAAAGTACATACTTCCATCTTTAAAAATGTAGTGTGGTCAATCTGAGGGGAATGTCCTTTCAGGTGGCATATGCTTTTGACCTAACATCATCTATTGAGTTCATTCTTCCTAGTATGAGCATCCTCAGTTTATATAGGAAGCAAAACACAAAATCTACCATTTTCTAGCCTACCTTATAGCTAAATGTGGCAATATGACTGTTTTGGCAGTAAGATAAAAAAAGCAGAAGTAGAATAGAACTTAGGAAGAATCCTTAGAGAATAGTATAGCTAGGAAGTCCTTTTTTTAATCTCACTTCTTTCCTTCCCCCCTAGAATATGGATTTGATTGCTACAGTTCCAGCAGCCACACAGAATGATGAACACCCAGAAAATGTAAGCCACCAAGATAAGTATAAAGGAGTTGGGAAAAATAGAAGGACCTTGAGTCCTTGATGGCTGGTGGAGCAACCATACCAACCTGTAGTCACTATCTTTGGACTTTTCTCCTTTTTCTTTACATCACAGTAGAGATGGAGAAGAACTGTTAAGATATCTAAGCCTACTTCTCGCTTAGAGTAAAATCAGGAGGATCTCATTGAAAGAAGGTAAAAAGATAGCATCCTTCTCATTTAGTCTTAAAGAATCACCAAAAATCTAGTTTTTGAACATGAGATTATATCTAGCATTAAAAAGGGGGATAAAGATACCTAAAATCAATAACAGGGTCATGATACAAGTCTTTGAATTTGAATTTTAACATTTGGATTAGAGATTTAGTTGCTTCATGTCTAAACAGCATTTGAAAAATTATTTTTCATACAGGAACAAATACTAACTCTCATACAGGCACTAGTATAGAAAAGGTGGTAAGCTAACAAAATCTAGGGCCCTGTCAACTAAAGAAAGAAATTCAGCCCTTAGAAATGATGATTCATGCAATTTGTTTTACTTTGTACAAAGTACTCGGTTTATACTTAGTAAAACATTGCAGAAATAGTCAAGCACGGTATAAACCTAAGTGTATACCTGCCTAAGAGTTTAGAGTCACAGGCTAAGCTAAAGACAACATGGAGCAGCCATATATCTTCAATCATCTACTGAACATCCACATCTTAAGGTTTTAAACACAGGTGCCCATAAACTATGTCAGATGCCCAATTCAGCCCACTTTCATTTGGGTGGGTGGGTGCTGGGGATTAAACCCAAGGGGCACTTTAACACTATATCCCCAGTCCTTTGTGATTGAGACAGCGTCTTACTAAGTTGCTAAGACTAGCCTACAACCTGTGATCCTCCTGCCTCAGCCTGGCTCTCCCACTTCTATTTTTACAAATGGAATTTTTATTGAAACACAGACAAACTAATTCATTTATGTATCACCATAGTCGCTTTCATACTACATGACATGAGTTGGGTATTTACGAGAAATCACATGGCCTAAAAATGTCTAAAACATTTTCTTTTGGTCCCTTTACAGAGAAAAGCTCACTGACTCCTACTTTAAATAATAGGGGAGAAAGAAATCAAGACACCATAACCAATTTATTATTTTTCTAAAAATTTACAAACTGAGGGCTCCCAGGTTAATAAAGTAGTACTGCACAAACTCATATGATAATTCTGAATTCTCCAAAATGTCCACTAGCATTATGAAAAACGGTTTCAACAGACAGAAAGACAAGGCGACAATAGCAGCAAAACTCTGGAAGCCAGAAAACAGACAACAGATAATCAACTTCACTTGAGAACTAAAATGTAAACAGTGGGAAAAGCTAAGAACAACCCAAATACAGAGTTTTCAAAAAAACAAGAACTGGTAGCATCAACTACACTCCTATAACTAGGGCTTAAGGCTGAAGATGACTAAAACAAGAGAGGACTGGGTAAAAATTAATAAGCAGTTAAATCCCTAGATTTTCTACTCCACCCTTGTAGAAATATGGAAGTTTCATCTCTGAAAGATGGAACTTCTGAACTGGTACTGGGAGACAGACACAATTTAGAGTACCTAAGATACATGACTGCTTGATAACAGAATGGAAGCCAAGCCTATACCCAGACACTACAGATGGAGAAATCACTACTGATAGGGCGGGGGGAGATTCTGGAAATTGGGGGCTTCTCAAAAGAAATACCCATTCTAATGATGCTACACTAAAATTCCAAATCAATAAGCCCTCCTACCCAACCTTCAGATTTTCTAATCATCTTTTCTTTTTAATGTCTTTCCCACTGCCCCTACCCCTAATCCCTCAACTTAATGCCAATCTTAATGAGCAGATAACCAAATACTAGCACATATTTGAGGAACTCTCTTACGTTATTGAGACTAAAACAAATGGGTGAAAGAAAATTAAAGAGCAAATAGATTATACAGAGGGAAGAAACATCCTGAGAAAAGATACTACCATCAATGAAATGGAACAGGATGGTTAAAAAAAAAACAGGAAAAAAAAGCAAATGAACTTTTAGAAACTAAATACAATAGAGATTTAAAATCTAAGACTGGAAAAACAAGGTTTCTTTAGTTCTGTCCAGAAAGAACAAAGAAACTAAGATGAAAAATAAAATGAGGTGATTAGAAGACCAATCAAACATATGACATCTACCAGGATGTGCAGAAGGAGAAAACAGAAACAAGCCCCCCAAAAGGTCAAGAATATTCCTTAGAACTAAAAGCTACTGAACTGCTGGATTGAAAGGGTCCACCACTGACTGCCTAACACAAAGAGATAGAATAAGCAAAACAATGGGAAAATTTTCAAAACTCCAAAGCCATAATAGCTTCCAGAAATAGTATTTCAAAAATATCACATGCAAATAATCAAGAAAACTTTTAACTTCAACACAACAACGCTGCAAACAAGGTAACAATGGAAGTAGCACCTTCAAAATTCTGATGAAAAATAATTCCTACCTTAAATTTCTAACTATCAAGCATAAAGTAGAAGTCATTTTCAATCATATCGTGTATCAAAATAATCTACTTCCCTTGCACTCTTCCAAGAAAGTACTAAAGAACCATAAGAAAAGAAAAAGTGTAGAATATAGCAAACTCAAAGAGAAAGAAATGGAAACACCAGGAAGATAGTATGAAAACCTTATAACCAGGGTTAAGAAATCCAGATGAGAGCAGTGTCTTTGAGACACAATCACTTTGAGAGACAATATCATTAAAAAGCCTGCTGCCTCTATTTTTTTTTATGCTAAAGACAGTACGTACACATGGGAATACTGGCTCAAATTCTCCAGTGTACTTGCATGTTGTTGGCCCTGAAGTAAAATTATCTGCCCTTCTACCACTATGCACTAATGCCTAAACAGCAACAAATAACCCCATCATTTTCCTCACCCCCAAGTGTTCTTTTTAAACTATCACGAACTGGCAAGCTACTATAAAATCAAAGGCAACAGATGTTGGGCAGCTCATCCTTTTCCATTCTCCCTGATTATATTTCTGCAAGACATCCATCCACTCACACTAGAAAACTACCACACAACTTAAAACTGTTTCCCAAGATACGTATTTCAAAGTGCATAGCACCTTGCCCTATAGCTTTTCCCGAAATGGAAACCAGAAAAGCTTCAGAAAAGCTTAAACCAGACTATGACCCAAATAGTCTCTTGTTTTTACTGTCCTATCTTGGAGGCTTTAACTAACAGTAGTTAATACTGTTTTACTTAACTAAGTTTGGCTTGCTATTCAGCTCTTCAAAATTAAATATTGATTAATAATTTATCGGTAGTAAAACTCTAAAACGAAAAGCAAAGAAATAAATTAGACAAAAGCCAGATAGTGTTTACACACCTAAAGAGGACAGGTGGGAAATGCAAGTTAGAAAGGGCAAAAGGGGCTTCTAATAGTAATGTTCTAAAATTAACTTGTGCTTATGTCTTTTTGTTTAAGTTCTATATATACATTTTATATACATCTTGTACCTATAGTGTATCTTCCTTTTATATACATCTTATAAACACTGTAATATGCCCATTATAATAAAAGTAGGAAAATCTCTGGGAAATACACATATGGTAAAAATGGATTCTGCAAGTACTTATGCCCTATTATAGTTCTCAGCACTTTCCTAAGAATACACACTGACAAATGATTTACCATGAAAGTGATTATATATACTGTGTTTTTTCATTGATGTGCTGTACCCAACTTTCATAATAGCAAGTATCAAGCATTAGTCATTACTATACATTTTCATAATATATAATGTATACAGAAGTTAACTACGATACAATACAAAGTGATGCCAAATCTCTCAAAAAGTATCAACTATTTGCCACTTACTTGTCAATGTCTGCCATGTTGTAGGAACTTCAAATACCTATGGAGAGAAACATCAGTGTTAAAATATTTTTTCAGGAGAATATTGCTTAAAACAAACATGTTAGAGTAGGCTTTTAGAATCTGATATAAAAATTATTATATTAACATCATCAGTAAAGAATTCCTATTTGCTGTAAAAGGAATAGTGTTACCAAAGTCTTTTGTTCAAATTCTTTTAATCATATGTTAAATTTTTGCTGAACTTTTAGGCTATTCAGCATCTTTGAACAAATCCACTTCACTTTTAACAGTATTATTTTTTTATCAAATTCAAGTTAAAAAAATATTTGCTACCTATTGTACTTACGCTCCTGGAGGTATTAAAAAAATAAAGGTTTAGTAATCTCTGCATCACACATCAGCCCTTTAAAACGATTACACATTAATTGTAAAAATCTAGGTCCCAACCTATTATGTCAGACAAACCTTCTGTATCTCATCTCACATGACTGATGTACAACCATTCCCACCATCCCCTGCAACAACCTCCCCTGGTAATGCTGATACACTGTTAATTAACACTCTGATTACCAAATCTAAGTAAGTTTACTGGAAAGATTGATTAAATGACTTAAATTCCTAAGGCTTAGAGAATACTTCTGAGAAAGGGAAGAAAACCTTAAGGTAAATGTGTTAAATACTTAAGTGAAAAATGGCTGAATGTTAAGTCATCCAGATCACTAAAAAAAACCTAAACCAAGTTTAGACAGAATTCCGCATTAGAAATCAAGTTTTCATCTTTCAGCCTTAGGATTAATTCCACAAAATCTTATAAGATGAACTACTCTCATAACAGCATGCTTAAATATTACTTAAGAGTATTTAAGGTTCTGATTTTAAGTCAAGTGGTAATATTTGAGGAGTATTACTGATCTAGTATCTATCCTTTAATTATAAAGAAAATATTTCTTTCTAATATATCTTTAATATATCTTCCTTTTGTTTAAAAATGTTTCCTTAAATATTTCCTAGTAGTACTGACAAATTTCTCCAGTGATACTGGGCAATTAGCATATATCTACAAAATGTTTAGAAAACTACTGATGAAATCGAATTCAAAAATTAAGAAAAATACTGAATCTTCAAAGAAATGTATTTGGGATTCTAAGTGTCTACCAAATCATTGAGAATTTTCTTTCAACACAGGGAAAAATTTAATAAATATTCTTTCTTAAATCTGAGTTATGTTCTCATAAACTAGTACTTTTCTGGACAGTTATTCCTGGTTAAAGGAATTTCAAAGGCAAAGTTTAAATATATCCATCTCCAGCCTTATTTACTTATAAGAATGTTCCATAAAGAACTACTGAGCGGGCTGGGGATGTGGCTCAAGTGGTAGCGCGCTCGCCTGGCATGCGTGCGGCCCGGGTTCGATCCTCAGCACCACATACAAACAAAGATGCTGTGTCCACCGAAAACTAAAAAAAATATTAAAATTCTCTCTCTCTTTAAAAAAAAGGTACTACTGAGCATGTAAGGCCTTGTTTTTCATATTCACCTTCAAGATCCCGCCAAAGCCCCAGTGAACAAATCCTATACATCTTGAACAACTGGTTAAATAATTCTTTGTTGTACAAACTCCTATATAGTTCTATTTCTTTCCATCCCAAGATGTCTCAAGTATATAATTACACATTAGTGTAAGCTAAGGTCTCTCCCAACTTTTCAGATGAGACTCATTACAGAAATTTATATGCTTTTACCAATCACTATTCTTCAGAGTAATATACACAACTTATATGTTATAAATTTATTAGCATGGAATGCACATATAAGGAAATGCTTTATAGTGAAAATGGAAGCAATTCTCAAGAGCTGATATGGAAATGTAAAAGGTATAAAATATATGGCAAAATCCCATTAGGACATGAATAAAATATAAGTATGTTCATACACGTACATACTTTTATAATATAAACAAAACCTTTACATACATTTTATTGGTGCTGAGGAACTGATCACATGCTAAACACATAACTATGATTGAACCACACCACCAGCCCCTTAAATAAAACCTTTTTCTATATCAGAAACCTGAAAGTAGTTACTATAAAACATGAGAAATGAGAATTTTTAAAAATTTTTCTTTTTAGTTATATATGACAATAAAGTATAATTTGACTATAAAAACATAGAATACATTTTGTTCTAATTAGGATCCCAGTCTTGTATATGATATAGAGATTTACCATGGTGAGAACTTATTTTTCCATTTTGCATTACTTGGTTTTCCAGTATAAAGAAGTTTACCTAAATCAGTAATATTTTTCAATTTCCTGGGTTGTAAACATTAACATATTGTCTAATAAACCTAGCAATTGGAATATGGAAAAATATATGGGGAAAAAACTCAGAATTTCCGATTTAAATTTTTAGGCCATTTTAACATGTTCACAGAACTACCATCAATGTCCAGTTTTCAGCACTATCTCTAGATTCTGAACTTTTGAAATAAAACTTTTTAATGAAGATCCAAACTGCCCATTCAGGAAAATTAGATTTTTTGCTTGTGTACATTCATAAAACTGGGCCTAATTTCAGTTAAATTATTAAGGTTTACACTACCTTTGAAGCAATCAACAGGGAAACAACTTCTGGCTTCATTTCATCATACATAAAAAGTTAAAAAATTCCCTCATTGGATTGAATTTATTTCAAGGAGTATACTCCACTCATATGTACAGCTTTATATTTTTACCAGCATTTAAAAAATGTTTTCATCCTATTAAAAAAAAAAAAATTCAAGGAACAAATCCATGTTAAAACTTTAACCAGAGTTTGATACCTGGTAAGTACTCTAAAGAACATATGCTATTTTCATCCAATCCATTTTTAATTATACCACTGAACAGTTCTCCAAAATAATAAGCTGGGATGATAGTTAAAAAATAGATTATTTTAGTCTTGACAAATATACCATGGTAACTTTAAGATACTAATATTAGGAAAAAATGGGAAAGGGGCATACAGAAACTCTCTGACCTATGTTTACAAATTTCTTGTAAACCTAAAATTAAAAGTTAAAAGAAGAAAAAAACCATTAGGTCCAATGGAATGCCCTCCCCCACCCCCCGCCAAAATCTTCATTTTTAACCCCTACCCCTTGCAGCTTCTGAGGCAGGTGGCTCTCAGATAATCAGATTACACTGAAAAATACAGGTTTATATTAATACCTACATTGCTTTTTTTAATCTGGTTGACATTATATCAAACAATGTTGGACATAAAACTGCACTCCAAAATCTGTGAAAAACTTTTCATTCCTGATAATGACAAGCTATTTTATGCAGATTAATACTGCCAATAAAAAATAATTAAAAGCAAAGAACAAATTTATTAAAATCTAAATAGCACTGAAACATTAATAATATAATACAGAATTACTACTGGTCAAAAAATGAAGGCAAAATAGGAAAATACTTTTGCCCTGAGGTCAACTGCCATTATCAGCAAATGTGAACTCTGATTTTAATTTGAAATCAAAATTTTGAGCCTATCCTATGAGGAATCTTTATAATAACTTTCTGAAAATAAGCAGGAACCCCAAAGTGCTATGTCTTCAGAGATTATAAGCCAGCTCTCTTAAACAAATGGCCCAAATTCATTTCATCTGTGTTGCTGCTCCAAACTCCAAGATAGCGTCAAGTATCCTGGCAGTATACTCACAGGCACTTGCTTATCAAATGTAAGTGAAAAGCACCTGCATTCTAGATCTCTAATAATTCATACAAGTAATTTCCAAAGGCAACCAGAATAACCTAAAGGGATACAACAGAAACCAGCCCTACAAAGACTTAAGTATTATTGTCCATTAGACTATAAACAAACTGTAGACAAAGGCCAAAAAACAACCAGTCTTACTAAGTCTAAAAATATAGTATCAGGAACTGTAGGTATAGTTCCGGAATCAAGTGCTTGCCTGGCATGTGCAAGACTATGGGTTCATTGGAAAGGAAGAAAGAGGAAAGGAAGAAAAAACAGTATCTGCAAGAAATAGACATGTATTAAGTTAACAGCAGATTTGGAAAAGAACTTAATATATCAAATTAAAAGGGTCGCCTTTAGTAGATTAAACAAAATTGAGAATTAAGCGAGCTAAAGAAAGCAAAGAAGAACTATTCTAAAACAGAGCAAGAGATTAAAGAATGGAAGTACTGAAATGAGAAGACATTTTAGGATACAACAAAATCTAAAAAAGATTTCATGCCTGTAATAACAGAGGCTTGAAAGGCTGAGGCAGGAAGATCACCAAGTTTATCAGCAACTTAGCAAGGCCCTAAGCAACTTGGTGAGATCCTGTCCCAAATAATAAAAAGGGCTGAGGATGTGGCTCAGTGGTTAATTAAGTACCTTGAGTTCAATCTCTCATAGGGAAGAAAAAAAAAAAAACTTCAAGTTCTAGGAGGAAAAGATAGGATAGGAAACAATACATGAACAAATTAATAGCTAAGCACTTTCCAGAACTGATGAAAGAGACACCAACTCACAGATTCAGGGAGTTTTATCAATTCTACTCAAGACAAATAAAAAAGAAAACCATACTTAGATAAATAAGTAAAAAAGCAAGATCCCAAAGACAAAGAAGTCACCTAAGAAAGTACACAAAAGATTAATTTCAAAGGCATAGCTGACAGCTGGCTTCTCTTCAATATCAGATACCAAAAGATAATAGAATTCATAACTTTCTGAAAATAACTGATGATCTTAGAATACTATATGCAAACAAAGTAATCTATAAGAATGAAAACAAAGCAAATACTTCACTTAACAATACCTCCCTCCAAGCACTATCACTGAAATATTCTGTAGTATAATCTTCATATAGAAGGCAAGTGATTCCAGATGGAAACTTGAAAATACATTAAGGAAAAAAGATTATCTGTGTATATCTACATGAAGATTGTGTCTATTTTAGAGATGAGGACCCATTAGGTTCCCAGGCTCAAAACTCTTGGGCTCAAGCAATCCTCCTGCCTCAGCCTCCCTAGCACTATGACTATAGGCACACACCACCACGTCCAGCTAAATAAGGATTTTGAAAGAAATAAAATTACCATTGTGAGTGTTAAAACATTAAAAATATCACACTATTTGAAGTCAGTGATGTGAATAAGCACTCCAATGTTTGGTAAGTATGCAAATAGTAATTTCCAGAATGACTACCAAAAGATTAGAAAACAGCATATATAACTTCCAAAATAAAGTAATGAAAACACACACTTTTAAAATAAACCTGAAAAGTTGGGCACAGTACTGCACATCAGTAATCCCAGCAACTCCACAGGCTGAGGCAGGAGGATTCCAAATTCTAGGCCAGCCTCATCAAGGTAGGAAGACCCTGTCTCAAAATAAAAAAATAAAAAGAGCTGGGGTAGAGGTTAGTGGTAAAATGTCCCTGGGTTCAATTTTCAGTACCAAAAAATAAATAAAAGTAAAATACTCCTGTAAACTTCAGAGTAATTACATTAAATGTAAAAGTAAATGTTCCTATCAAAGATTCTAAGTCAGGCCATGCATGGGGTCACACCTTGATCCCAGTGACTTAGGACACTGAGGTAGGAGAATCACCCAGATCGACTCCATTCTTGGTGACTTAGCAAGACCCTCTCACAATTTTTTTAAAAAGGAGGCTGGGGATGTAGCTTGGTAGCACCACTGGGTTCAATCCCCACTACACAAAAGAAAAAAAATTTCCCAAGACTGCCTTCAAGAAAATTCAGTGTCATTCTATGGATAAGAAATTCATCATCTAGTTTCAAAACCCAGTATGAACCTAATATATTAACATCAGAAAAAAACAAACTTTTTATATTTAGTATTACTAAATATAAAAAGGCCACTTTTTCCAAAATGGTTCAATTTATAATCCAATATATAATGTACAGAAGATCTTAATGGAAAGGCATGGTGATTCCAAACAGTATTCCTGAAAGCAAATCTTAATCTTGAAAATTCTAATATGAAGAAAATCTTTCATTAGAAGACAGGCCATTGACTAAATCAGGCCACAAAACCTGATCATTTTGTGGTCTTTTAATAACCAGATGTCCAGACACCTACTATCAACTTCTTATCATTCTGGTAATCCTTATTCTGAGTAAATTGCCCACACTATCAATGAATACGAAGAAAGCCAACATTTATCAAAACATTTGGCCACTCTGTAAGGAATTATAGGCTCTCCTCCTACTTTGGAAATAAAATATTAAGCGCCTTGCTTAGCAACACAATCCTGAAGTAGTTAGGTTTTAAAACCTGACTTTGAAAACAAAAGCCCATTCCACTATTCTAAAAACCAGGGTACTTTCCAATCAGCCTGTTACATAGATTATTCACTAAACTAAAGCATTATTCGTTTACAAAAAATGACTACTTCATGATGAAACAGCCAATCACTAAAAAACAAAAATGGTTTAAAGCCAAAGAAGGAAACAATAATAACCCCAGGATATAGTTTTCCCTTTACCTCAGACCTCATTCCAAATGAACTTTAAGCAAAAATTTTTAGATAGCACTGCATTTGGCTACAACACAACCCCTCAGCTTAAACAGCTTATTTTTTTTACACTCAGTTTTTTCATTTCAGTGCTATCAATAGTCAACTGAGAACTTTGTATTAGACTCCCAAGCAAAATGAATTCCTATTTGAGAACACTGTTATCTTCTGTCCAAAAATATCTATAGAGTATCATCTAATCCAATAACAGGGAAACTTATCCTAGGACCCAGGACACTTGGTCAAAACTCATCCTACTTACAAAATTTATCCTCATGGTACTTCCAAAGTTACATGTACGTGCAGCATACATAACTGGCGTACTTATGGCCCAACTACATGGAAGAACACCTCATAACTATACAATGCTGTAGCTTTTCCCTAGAGCACTGTAGAATCCAAAATATAGCAAAACAGTTTAAGGGACATCCTTCAAAAACCACTACAAAAATCACCTCATTTTAAGTCCTCATTGCTCAGTTATGTAACCCTGGATAGTTTCTTTAACCATGACATACTGTTTCCTTGTTAAAAGAATTTTAAAACAATAATCACCCTGTAACTGCTCTTTTATTATTTTTCCATTGTACTTTTGTATTCTTACTTTATTTTAGAAAATGATTATCACAGGCCACATTGGGGGAGAGGGTGGCTATCAACAGGCACAAACTTCGCAGCAAGCGAAGTATTCAAATAGGCAGCAATAAATGGCAGAATTGGTAACTCAAGGAAGGTACAGAAGCCACTTTCCATGACACCAGTAATGTGCTCTAATGCTGTTGATGCAATGAAAAACTTAACAAAGAGAGGTGTAAAGCAACTATTCCCACCTTCTAACCACCACTCTACCCAACAAAAACTCCTTATTCAGATGAAATGAGTTTAAATGGGACTTAAGTATTTACTCAAAGTATTAGCCAAGACTACAAATGATTTCAGGTTTGATTAAACCTTAAGACTCCAAATAGATTGATCATTATTATTTCTATACTGGAGAAAATGAGGGGCTCATTCTTTAATCTTTTAATTATATTGAGAATTTACAACCAAGCAAAATACTAAATAAAGTAACAAAATTTTGTTTTGACATCCTCAGACCTTTATAAATCAAGCATTCTGCTTCTTTTAGCCCCTTCTATAGAAAGACCACTTGTTTTGAAATATTTTAAGAATTTATAATCAAATTAATCACCTGGGGCCAATATGGGCAAATTGAATAATAAAATAAGCTATGGCATTTAGATCACATTACTTCTGCTAGGAGTGTACCAAAAAAAAAACCTTGTGTAAGGACAGTCATGTGCCTCATTTAGTATTAACTTAGTAATTCGTTCAATTAATGGGTGTAATATAAAAAGCAGATATTTCACAATAGATAAAATTTACAAAGATTTGCACCCAAGTATGGTGAAGTTTCTCATTTCATTACTTTAACCAACAACTGGCTTGAAAAGAACATTTTAAAATCACAAAAGATTAAGTCTTCTAAGTACACCTGCTTATGTTAGCTCCAGTCTTAAAAGTACAACTGCACGGTTTAGATTTAGAACATGTATTTCCACTTTAGCAACTTCAAACAAGCTTGAGACACTAAAATCCCTAAAGACCACTGAAAACCTCATTTTCCTCCAGTTTTAAATAAATTACATATATGTGTATGATTTTTCTCTTATCTAAAGGTAGAACTATTACTTCTAAGATAAGGAGCATTAATCTAAGCTGACAAGAAAACAGGACATGGGCTGGGGGTGTAGCTCAGGGGTGGAACTCTTGCCTAGCATGCACAAAACCCTGGGTTCAATCCCCAGCATGCAAAAAAAAAAAAAAAAAAAGAGGACGCAGACACTACTTTCAAAAGATGTTTTGATGGTATTTTCAAAAATAGCAAATTTTCTTTTACACCCCTCCTGAAAATTTGCAACCGGTTTAAATTCTGAGATTTTCAAAGTATAGTGTTCCTGGAACTCATCAGACCAGTAATAGTTTAAACCAGGGACTCCTTGAGGACAGCCTGTGCCTGCTTGAGTGATCCTTTGTACTAGCCCTCCCCCACAGGACCTCAGTGGCCGCCTCCTTTAATTGCCAAGAGATTTTTACTGAAATGGGGCACATTGACAAGGTAGCAGGTACTCACTTGGGTTGGTCAGTTTATATTAACCCGCCACCCCATTCACCTTAAAAATAGCTAGTGAAGTATCCTATTCTGGGAACCTCATTAAAGGAAATAATGTCGGAAAGCCTGTGAGAATCTAAACTATAACAAGCCAAACCCTTTACCTTCTTAGAAACGTTTGAAGGTTTAGATAGATGAGGATCAATCCTTCCCCTTCCCCACTCCTCAAAAACAAAGGTGGGTGTAGACACCCACCTCCCCTCATCTTAAGTTCTAACTGTATCTGGGACACACAATACTATCTTTTGTTAATAACAGCTAAAATAAGCGCTTTACACGCATTAATTCTTTAAAATCCTGGCAGTGTATCAGCTAACATTCGAAATTTCCTCTGGTACCAATAAAGATTTAAGACCAAAGAGAAGCAGTTAAGAGTTGGAAACCCAGGGGACGGGGACTTATGAGCTCATCATTCCTTTTCATATCCTACCAACTCTACAACTTTCACTGAAAGTAAGAATAGCACCCCCCCACACACTCCCACCCGCTGCAAGGGTCTCCAATCTTGGCCAGGAGGCGGCCACGCAGCCCCCTCGCCACGCAGCCCGCTCACCACGTGTCGAAGGAAGACGCGGGGGGGGGGGGGGGGGGCCCCCCCCCCCCCCGCCCCCCCCCCCCCCCCCCGGGGGGGGGGGGCCCGCGGGGGGGGGGGGGGGGGGTCCCCGCCCCGCCCCGCACGGCCACCGCCCCCAGTGGGCGGAGAGCCCCGCAGCCTCCCCGCCCCCCTGCCTCGGGCCTGGTCCCTCAGCGGCCCCTCCCTCCCTCCCGTCGGAATTCGCAGCCTTCCCGGTTCTTTCCATCCCCCAGCGGCCTCCCTCGGGTTATTACTTTGGGGGGGAAAAGACAGAGGCGTCGAGGTGGCGGGCTCCACACTGGCCCGGCCCGCATTCCCAGCGCCTCCCGCTCCTTGCCGCGCGGCAGCCGACTCCTCTAAAATACCCGGGCGTCGCCGCGGCCTCGCTCCCGTCCGCGCGCAGAAGCCGGCAGGGCCCCGAGAAACCTTAAGCACGGTAGGGCGCGCCGACCCCCCGCGTCTCCTCAGCGGCCCCTGAAAAAAGCACCGGTCGGCCCTGGGCCCCTCTCAGGCTGCCGTGTCCAGACTCCGCAGACCACTCCGGCCTCACCGGACGACCCGGAGGCCCAGGGCAGCCAGCAGCCACTGCTCTCGCTCCACCGTCCCTCCCCTCCGTGAAGGCCGCCCGACCAACTCCACGTTCCACGTTCCCTTTCAGGCCCCCATCCGTTACCGGCAGCTAGTTCGGGGAGCCAGGCGGTCGGAGCTGCGCAGGCAGTGACTCAGGGAGGCAGCGGAGACGGGAGGAGCAGGAGGCGGCGCCGAGAGCAGATGGCGCTAAAAAAGACCCGAGAGCCCGCCGCTCGCGCTCATATACAATTAGCGTCAGCACGTAGGGCCCGCTCAGCCGCCCTCCCCCAGGCCTCGTCGTCTCCTGGCAACAGGGGCGGGAGGCGGGCCCGGGCCTGGTTGCCTAGTAACAGAACCGTCCTTCTTCTGCGGAGGTCTCCAACCAGCGGGGTGGGCTCTTCCTCAGCGTCCAGCTTGGGCTCCTCGGGTTCCCGCCACGGTCTATCCTCCTCCCTCTATTGAGCACCCCGCCATCTCTTTTCTCTCCTGGCTTCACTGAAAAAGAAACCGTAACCCCATTCGTAGTCGGGCACGGCCCTGACCCTCCCGTCTCACCCCTGGCCCACCTTGGGGGGCGAAGGTGGGTAGGCAATGAGGATGGTGGGCAGCAGCCCAGCGCTGCGCTCGCGCTGCCCTTGACGTTGATCTCTTCTTGGTTCCCATGCCTGTCCTGGCCTAATTCCTTCAACTCCCTGGCCTCTGGAAACCATTTTCCTTCCTCACCTAAGAACTACCGTTCTTTCCTCCTGACTACTTTGGCGGCATCTTCTGCCGGTTTTACTTGTCCTTAGAGTGTGTCCACGCCTTCTAGGGGTGCCCTTCATCTAATTCTCTTACCTAATGAGCAGTCCCTTATTTCTGCTTTTCATTTGATGGATGAAATTAGCATGTTTTCTGTGTTCTCAGCTTACTTTATAATGAGACCATTCAGTATGTCCGCTGTGTCATCTTTCTAAAAAAAGTAAACCCTATGTAAATCCTAACTTACGAAACCTCTTGGCTAATTTTCAGTTGACATTGGATTGTCTAATAGTAACTTTCAGTGGTTCTCAAAGTGTAGCCTGAGTGTCCCCAGGTCCTTCAAAGAGGACCGTCAGAACTATTTCTATAATAATACTAGGACATTGGTAAACAGTATTCATAGGACATTGTTTACGGTTTACACTCACACTCTCTCAAGCCTATGGCAGGGTTTTCCAGAGGCTCCCGACATGTGACAAGGAAACATTGAAATAGAAGCAGACAGGAGAATCCAGTCATCTGTTGTAAAACCATATATGAAAGAGCTTTACAGAAATGTGAAACAACAATGCCACTCATTTTGTTGTTGTATTTCATACAGAAGATTTTTCCTTGTTGCCATTGATTGCTTTATTATTGTTTTTAATTGAAAAACTTCAAATTTTCTATATGTTAATTTCTAATATAATAAATATAATTATAATGCACATAAAAGTTCTTTGGAATTCTCAGTTTTTAAGACTGTAAAGGGAAAAGTTTGAGAACCTCTTCTCTAAATATTGCTTCAAACTGCCTAGAATCTTCTATATGAATCCTCACATTTAGTAATTATGTGTTCCATTAAAGTACCTAGCTTTTTCTGGGTACCCCCCAATCTTAATGAAATTGGTTCTTTTCCCCGCTCTACAAATGCCTTGGTTTACTTGTTTCTTTGGGTTTTTCATACATGATTTTCTTGTTTTTCTAGCCTTCTTCCCTAATCAGTATTGATATAAAGCCAACAAAGATTGTGATGGCATGGATAATGGCACTTCAGGAAGAACCAACTATACATGAACAAGATAGACCCATGCTCAATAGTATATGGCACTGACTCATTTCAATAGGAGCCTCAAGAGTGTTACATTCTGTTGGGAGTGGTGGCACTTGCCTGTAATCCCAGTGGCTCAGGAGGCTGAGGCAGGAGGATCGAGAGTTCAAAGCCAGCCTCAGAAACAAGGAATCACTAAGCAACCTAGTGAGATCCAGTCTCTAAATAAAATATAGAACAGGGCTGGGGATGTAGCTCAGTGGCCTAGTGCCCCTGTGTTCAATCCTGGTACTCCCCCCCACCCCTCAAAAAAAGTGTTATATTCTAATTAAAGCTATGCCCAATGCAAGATAATTAGCATATTAAAATGAACTAAACTTTCCATAACCTTTATAGTGATAGAATTTCTGAGATAAAATTGAGATGTTAGCCTGGAATGTCATCTCATTCCAGGAAGCCTCACCAATTTCATGGCTAATTAGCAACTTGTTAATAAAAAAGAAGGTTAGGGGCTTGGAGTGTAGCTCAGTATTAGAATGTGCACTTAGCATGTGTAAAGTCCTGGGTTCAATCACCAGTACCAAAAGGTAAAAAAATGAACATCTTTGAGATCATAATGAATTACAAAAACAAGTTATATGGTGTAATTTGAAGATGATTAGAGTGCACATTATTGGGAGAATTGATAGTAAAATGTGGTGGATGTACATCATATAGTATTAAGTATCAGAACACTGAATGTAAAATGGTTAATACTACACAGATGAATCTTTAAAATGAATTGCTCAAATTTGGGGAAAAAAAGCTTACTGGTACAAAATGCTGGAAAAGATGTGATACAATGGGAACTCTAATTCATTACGGGGAATGCAAAATAATCCAGTCACTTTAGAAGACAGTTTGGCAGTTTCTTATGAAGTTGAATATACATTCACCATGTGAACCAATAATTTTACTCCTAGCCAAGTGAGTTGAAAAGATGTATACACACACACACACACACACACACACACACAATACGAAACAATAATAACAGGACATGAATGTTGACAGCAGTTTTATTCCTAACTGCCAAAATCAAAAATGAAAATGTCTTTCTACAGGTAAATTGATAAGCAGTGGTATATCCATACCATGGGATACTAATCAACAATTAAAAGGAATGAGATACTAATTCACTCAACAACATGGATGAATCTCAGTTAAGTTTTGCTAAGTGAAAGAAGCCAGCCTATATATTATGATTTTATTTATATAATACATGGAAAAGGCAAACCTCTAGGGATAGAAAACTTTCTATTGGCAGAGGTTGGGGGAGAGGTGAAGAACTGACTCCAGAAGGGTTGCAGAAGGGACTTTTTAAAGTAATGAAATTGTTTCATATTCTATAGGTAGTAGAGAACATAACTTTATATGTTTGTCAAAATCTATTTGCTGTTTTGGAATTTTAAAAAATCAACCAGATATTGGAGAATTATAGGATGGAAATAGACTGACAAATTAAGTATATTACAAATGTATATTTTATTGAAGGGGTAAGTGAAAAGGAAGTCGACTTTGGAAAATAAAGTTTGGATGTTCATTGGATAGAGGCAAAAAGAGCTATATGTAAACATCCTATTATAGTTGGTAAATATCTCATTAGGTAAGCATTAGAAAATATGAATTAACTTTATAGGTATACTAGGACATCTGTATTGGTTTGCTAGGGCTACTATAACAAAATACTAAACTGGGGACTTAAGTAACTGTGATTCATTTTTTTCATAGATCTAGAGGCGAGAAATCTGAAATCGAGTTGTGAACAACTACTTGGTCCCTTCAGGGGGCTATGAGGGAAGGATCTGTATCAGGCCTCCCTCTTTGGCTGGTAGATGGTCATCTTTTCCCTTTGTATGTGTGTCTGTGTCAAAATTCCTCTTTTTGATAAGGATATCAGTAGGATTAGGGCCCACTATAATTATCTCATTTTAACTAGGTTATCTCCAAAATAAAGACTCTATCTCCAAATGAAGTCAAATTATGAGGTACTGGGGATTAGGATTTCAATACATGAGTTTTAGGGTGACATAATTCAACCCATAATATTAGGGTCAAGCAAATAAGTAAACAATTGTAGATATCGGGAGCCAGGCCCTTCACTATCCTAGAAAATGTCACAAATATACAGGAGTACCCTGTGGTACTAGATTGAGTCAGAGAAATTAGTACAAATTTATGTTTATAGACAAATAGATGATTGTTGGAGTGATTGAGATATGTATCTATATATAACTTAATAAACCTATACCCATTCCCTAGTTCTGTCCACTAAGCCTAGAAGCAGTGGTATACTCATAACAAGAAGCATACACAGCACATAAATCTTGTCTTCTAAATACCATTTGCCAGTTAAAGGAGGGAAAATACCAGATGAGTCTGGAACATTTTATAGTGTTAGAAATAAAAAATTTAGGGCGAGAGGAGAGAGAGATGGAAGCTTGTCAAAAGGACACAGGAGCCATCTGAAAGAGCTGGAGCAATTTCATCAACAAAATAATAATAATGTTGGATTATAACCCAAAGAAGTAAACAGATATTCATGAGTTCAAAATGATATAAAAATCATTGCATAAATATTCTCTTACTATCTCTTTATCATAGATGAGGAAATTGAAGTTCACACGGCCTGTTAGTGGCAGAGCCAGACTGAATTACAAGGATCTTAGCATCAGAACCTCTGCATGCAACTACATCCTTTCCATTTAAATGGATAAGATGTAGTCCTAGGATTCAAGGAATTCATTTCAAGAGAAATGAGCATGTAAACAAGCATTATAACTCAGTGTAATTGCTTAAAATAAGGGTCAGGCCATCAGAGAAGACTGTGCAGAAGTGACACTGAAAACAAATGTTGAAAGAGAAATAAGAACATATTTTGTGACAATAGATCAGGCATTCCTGGTCAGCACCCCCCCACACAAACACACACACAACAACAGCAACAACAACAACTCCAGCCATAGGGAAGAAGATTGGATCTAGCTGTTCAAGGTCATGTGGAAAACAGAACTGCACAAATAATGATGCCTGCCTTTACCTGGGCACGAATTTCACACAGACAAACTTTGGCCAAGTCATCATGAAAGGAGTTGGTATCAAGTGTCTATCAATCCATTTTGGGTTTATTCATCCTCATACTTTCAGGTGTCAAGACCTCACCTTTGTTAGAAGTATCACTATTTATTTAGCAGTTCTAAGGATTGAAACTAAGAGTAACCAATGAACTATCCCCAAGCCTTTTTATCTTTTATTCTGAGAGTCTAAGTTGCCTAGGTTGGCCTTGAACTTATGATCCTCTTGCCTTAGCCTCCCAAGTAGCTGGGATTACAGGTATGAGCCACCATGCCAGTCTTCATTTTTCTTTCAATAACTAGGTTTTTCACTTCTTAGTAATGAAAATTTCAC